TTATCCTAATGGACGGGTAGTTTGACTTCCTGTTGAAAGAATGAGAGCTGAACGGACTGAATAATGTTGTGGATAAAGGGCAGTGGGAATTTTAACTTAGAGCATCTTATTCCATGAGGCCAGGGTTTGGGCCTGTGTGCTTTGGGCAAATACACTTCGGAAGATGTCGCTATCCCGGTTTATTCTGCACACACAAATAACCGTCATTTGATCTCCTGATACCATTAGAGACGTGTCCGATAGCATTGTGATTTAAGTGGGTGTCTCGTTATAGGCACGCGTACTGCAAGTGAACGATCCTCAAACTGTTCATGTTGACACTCCTGTGTGTGTGTGTGTGTGGGGGGGTGATCCTTTGATTTGGTTTGTTCTTAGGCTGTCATGCTGTTTTCCATTGCTGTCTTTACCAGTCATCGATCGTGGTGTGCACTTGTATTACCTAGCCACACATGGACGTAGAACTCTTCATTTGATAATTGTTCTTAACATCAAAGTACCACAGGTCCGTTGCCGCTAACTTTCACAGCAATTCCCCGAAACGACCACCCATTCTCGTGGATATCCACAATCCAAGCCTTCTTAAACGAATAATTAAATAAGAAGAGCGTATATGTAATCGATCCTGACCTGGTATCTCGACTGTAGTCAATTTCTCACTGACGTAACGTGGCTTCCCTCTGTCTTTTCTACAAATATTTTCATGGTTATTCTGACGAGCTTTTTATCTCCTGGTGATCGGACAAAATGTGTTTAAGCGTGCTACTAGATTGGCAACTAGGTCCCACTCTTTTATTGTTGAATCAGTTAAATTTAACCGCCACCTCTACTCCAACAGTTTCTTTTCTCGCACTTCCCACCTGTGGAACTCCCTTCCGTTTCCTTGCTCCCCTGGTAACTACAATCTTCAAAAATTTAAATGCAACGTCAATCGTCATGTTCTATCTTCTTGAAACCCGTTCAACTTTTATTCTGTCCTAAGTCCCTCACTAAACTCAGTCTTTTCTCTCACCTTCACTCTCTGTAACCCCCCCCCGCCCTGTGTACTAGGGACATTCTCACCTGCTTTTTTTTACAAATATTTTCACGTCAATTGATCTAATGAGATTTCCTCTTTGGCACCTCGACTGTATGGATTTAAGCGTTCTACAAGACTGACTACTAAGTATCACCATTTTACTGTTAAACTAAATAAATACAACTGTCGCTTCTATTCTATTTTTTTCTTTTCTCGTCTGTCGAACTCCATTTTGATTACTTGCTTCCTGCCGCATACAATCTTAAAAAAATTAAATGCAACATAAATCGCCATCTTTTGTCTTCCTGAAATATATTCTTTATTGTCCTTTTTCTTCATTCCCATCCACTACCTGTAACCACTTGTGTCCTTTTTAGTTAATCGCCATCTTGTATCTTCTTGAACCCCGTTCAGCTTTTTTATCTTCCCTCAAAAAATTTCCTATACCCAGTCTTTTCTCTCATCTTCACCTCTGTAACCCCCTGTGTACTTGTGACATTATCACCTTGCTTGGGGGTGAAATGATTAAAATAATAATAATAATAATAATAATAATAATAATAATGATGAGAGTCTAAGTCAATGCAAGGATTTCATATAAAAATCAGTAGAATGTGAAATCTTAAGACAACAACATTAACTGTTATTTTGTGGCTTTGGGAATTATATCAAAAGCAAATAAAGAACTATGCGTATAAAATTCGTGGGTGCCCTAAAATATGTCTATTGCAAAAAATCATGCTTATGGTTACCTTCTCACATCTTGCGTAGATTACTCTGCACGCAGTAATTACAATTACATATTTTTTCTCCCATTGCCTGGCACCTCATCTGACTGCATCATCTGATAAAAAAGCTTGTTGTCTCCTGAAATGTCTGTCTGAGACTTGGGCGGCGGCGGAGGGATGGGCACAAAACGGCGGCAGCGGCAGCAGTAACAACAACAACAACAACATAGTTGAATCAAAGGCTCCTTAAAGAGAACCTTGACGTGGTGTGATGGTTAGCAAGCATAATTAGAACAATTACGAGTTTAAAAAAATGAAATGTAACATGAATTGCCATCTTCTGTCTTCCTGAAATATGTTCTTTTATTGTCATTTTTCTTCATTCTCTTTCATTCCCTGTAACCTCTTGCGTCCTTTCACCCCAAGCAAGGCGGAAATGCCACTAATATGCAATTACAGGAAGTGAAAGTGAGAGAAAAGACTAAGTATAGGGAGGATTGAGGAAAGGACAAATGATGAACGGGATTCAAGATGGCGATTGATTTTGCATTTAAATTTTTGAAGATTCTAGTTTTCTGGGAAGAAAGTAAATGGAAGGGAGTGGGAAATGCGAGAAAAAATGTTGGAGTAGAAGTGACAGATGCATTAAAAATGTTGCTGTAGAAGTGACAGTTGTATTAAAAATGTTGGAGTAGAAGTGACAGTGGCATTAAAATGTTGGAATAGAAGTGACAGTTGTATTTAGCTATTTCAACAGTAAATGATTGGGACTTAGAAGCCAATCTAGCACTTAAATTCATTTAGTGGGTACACCGTGGCAAAAATAGCTCGTCATTGTCATTATCGGTTTGCTTGTGGCGAAATGATTCACAAAGATATGTGCATCTCCGTGGCACGACACCTGCTTGTATTCCTCGCGATGAACCTTCATGCTGCATCATCTGAAGTTCAGACATAGACGGTCCACTTGTATGAGAATTACTGTGTTACAAGATAGCCGAAGTGAGAAATTTGTCAGAATATTCACAACGTACATGCAGGGAGGAATAATGGATATCGGCTCGGATTGTGGAATCGGAGAGCCGAGTTCGAATTCAAGTCAAATCGATTACATTCACTTACATGCTAATAACCTTGGGAAAGGCATGAATCCTCTTCTCCACCTAGCTATGGGTAAGTAGCAGGACAGACCAGTTGCTTTGGATGGTAACTGGTCTACCGCAGAAAGAAACGGCAACCTACTGCGGCAAAAATCTACCTCGTCAGTCATGTAGCGAAAGATACATGATCGCCTAAGCGTGTATCAATTGCATGCACACATTATTGCCAGCTCATACTCGGCATCGTCATTGAAGATGTTGCTTTTGTGTTTACCATCAATACGTTTAAAGTCCAGATTGTAATTTGATATCTTCAGAGTGTGAGTCGGGAATATTGAATATATTGAACATAAATATTTCTTTCTCCATTGTAGAGTATATGGTCACAAGCTGGTGTTGCTGTGATACTGCGTTTTTCGGGATGGAATTACCAACCATGATCAACTAGTTTTGAATTCAAGGTTAAAACCCAGTTCGGCCTGCTGATTAACCCATTAAAAAAGAGGGAAACAATTGGATTCATACCTTTGCTGTTGGATATTTGTGAGAAAAGGCACGTTAAGACATTGACCTTGTATATGAACTCACTACTTTCCGAGCCGATGAGCATTACGATAGGTGTGCATCTCTGTGAGTAGCACGGAACTGTGTTTCCCGTGTGGGAGAGCAAGAAATGAATGTTTCGGATTAAAATCTAAGTAATAATAATAAAAAACAAGTGTTGTTTTTAGTCCGTGTTTTTAATCTTGTCTAGCCACTCTTCTCACCAGAAAAAGACCTGGTAAGGAAACTGATTCTGTTCCAGATGATACGACAATACGGCACGTACTACTGAGTTACATGGTGTAAGTCGCACTTGAAGATGGAACTGCCGTATAAGGCAAAATATGAAGCTAGAGAAAGAAATGCCAGAAACCTAATACAGTTATTAGATTAATAATCTGTTTAGCTTATTGATAGGGAAGAATTAACTGCTTAACTGGAAAGGAGATTATATATATGTTTATTGTTGCGCAATTCATTTATAAAAGCTTGTTAGGAAGGACCACTCCGAGGCGGTGTAATGGTTAGCAATCTTGTCTCGCTAGAATATTTACGAGTGAGTTCGATCCTCACTGGGTACCCCATAATTTTCGCTTTCTGCCACATCTAAGTTACGCTTTGAAAATGAAAGGCACCTCGATGTGGTGTAATGATTAGCAAGCTTGTCTCGCTAGAACAATTACAACTGAGCAGTGAGTTCGATCCTCACTGGGTGTCCCACACTTTCGGTCTTGTGCCACATCTAAGCTCCGCTTGGAAAATCAAAAGTATCTCGAGACGGTGTAATGGTTAGCAAGCTTGTCTCGCTAGAACATTTACGACTGAGTAGTGAGTTCGATCTTCACTAGGTGTCCATACTTTCGGTCTTGTGCCACATCTAAGGTACGCTTGGGAAATCATTAGGCACCTCGGCGTGGTGCAATCGTTAGCAAGCTTGTCTCTCTAAAACTGTTACGATTGAATAGTGAGTTAGATCCTCATTGGGTACCCCATACTTTCGGCCTAGTGCTTAGAAAATCAATACAAGCTTGTTACGTTACTAGATGCTTTGATTTGTCCCTTTTACCTTCAATATTTCCTGTGAGTGTCAAATTTTCCAAACCCACTGTCTTCGTTATATGTTCCAGATAGTTGCCATATCTCTTTCAGATTATAAGTGTAAGCATCTTTTTCATTTCCATTTGACTTAAAACTTCCTCGTTTCTTGCAAGCGCCGTCTAAGTTAAACATAACAAAGCAAAAACATTGCTTACAGATACAAATGATAGGAAGCTGTGGAGAGCAACAAAGAGGGTAGGTAAAAGAAAAAGAATCTTCTACGGATTTATTGACGTGCAATATGTCCGTCTGCGTGTCTGTGTGTTTGTGTGCGTGGGTGTGTGTATGTGTGAGTGTGTGTGCGTGTTTGTGAGCGTGAACGCGCGCGCGCGCGCGCGTGTGTGTGTGTATGTGTCGGCCCGCATGTAGATCATGGGGAAATTAATGTCGTAATTATTACCTGAACGGCTTATTTATCGCGAGACGTCAACAGATTAAAAAGCATAAAAATATTCAGTGAAAATC